TCTTTCACATGATTCATATTGGGCAAACTAGGACCAAAGCAAGCACCCATCAGTTGGGGGGTGACTGAAGACATTTGTGGTACAGCCATGTCATGGATTATTATGCAACCAATATCAGGTATAAGTTATGTCTATATGGAGTGATTTAGGGGGACCTCCAAAATATTATTTAAGTGAGAACAGCAAATTGCAGAGCAGGGAACAGTATAGGGTCCCACGTTTGTGGGAGGGTGCAACAAGTTATGAGGTGGGATCTCATACTCTTTTGTCTGCCAATTTGACACCTCCACCTGGACGTCTCAAGCATTCATCCTCAAGTGGAAAAATTGGAACGCCTGAGCTTCTTCCACCTCCAGCCCTCTACTCTCCCTAACTTTGTTCCTCCCACAAAAGTCTTCCGCTTCTCAATGAATAGCATCACCATCTATCCAGGTATTTAAGTGAAATAATAATGGAGAGGCACCCTTATTTCCTTCCTCTCCCATTGCCACATCTTCCCCTGGCCACTATATCATCCTCAGCAATCCCTATACCCTCTACCTCCCAAACACTACTGGAACCTCTCCAACTCCACTGGAGTCCACCATTATGTCTCCAGTGGGTTACTGCCATAGCCTCCTAACTGGCCGCCTGCTTCGACCAAACTCCCTTCTCCAGCCAGCAGCCAGACTGCTCTTTCTGAACAATGAATGGTGCCTTTTCCTTCCCCCACATAAAACCCCAGAAGGGCTCCCCATTTCAGTTCGAGTAAAGTGCAAACTCTTCGACATGGCTTAAGTATAATGAGCTGTGGGCCTTCTCAGACAGAATATTCTAATACTCCAAGATCCAAGCTCAAGCCTTCCTGGGGTCTTGCATCAACCTGAAACCATCTTTCTCCATCTTTTTAAAATCATGAGCAGATTTTTAAACATACAGAAAATTGCAGTGAGTCACAGAACACGCACCCCATTACACATCACTCAGAATGAACAAAAAAAATAACATTTGTCTTATTTTTGTTTCAGATGTTTAGATATTTATGGTGATAAAACAATACAAAATACAGCTACCATCCCCTTTGGAGTCCTCCCCAATCCCATTCTCTTATCTTTCCATCCACTCCATGGGGCACATACCTAGGTCACTTTTGGGTGTGATTAAAGGCAGGAGACAAACATGCCCTTGATTTGTCTCTCTAATTCCTTTTTCTCTCCCTGTCTCTTTCCTCTCACTCCTACCCCAAGGTTGAGAATTCCTTTGAACCTTTGTTCTTCAACTCCCAGAAGCAGACAAGGCCCATGGAAGGGAACATAATTAGTTACATTTGTGCTTAAGATGATCGTGAGAAATGAAGAAGCCTATGTTCCCAGCAGTTCTTGCATATTCCTACATTGCTAGGCCTAAATTCCTCAAAGAAGATGAGCCTTGGAGTTAAATGGATATGTAGACAGGATTCCAGAGCAAAAACACTTAACCACTCTGAACCTCAGAATGTGCTTTGAGTTTGAATTTCAGAAACCCTATTCAGGTGCTTAGGAACTTCTCTTTTTTAATTAAATTTATTGGGGTGACTTTGGTTATTACGATTATGCAGGTTTCAAGTATACAATTCTATAATACATAATCTGTATATTGTATTGTGTGCCCACCACCTAAAGTCAAATCTTCTTCTATCACAAGTTACTAATAAAGGGTTAAGGAGGTCAAATATAAGAAATTTTCTTTATAACAAGTACTTGGCCCCAACCCTGCGGAGGAACCAAGAAAAAAGGGCTGTCTCAACTGATGGCTTTTACATAGCATTTCAGATGTTTTTCTCTGGGAACCAATTCTACTCCCAACTCGTGCTTAAAATTTTAACTAACACCCTTCTTTGTCATAATCTTAAGCAAATTTCAGGTGTGATCTTATAAAAATATGCATGTTAAAAAGGAGACAATGGCGAGGTTGGCAAGGGCCAGGTCCTGCCTCCTGACTACAGGTAACCTAGACCCACCCTCCCGTTGAGATAGCTCCTAACAGCAGTGACAGTGATCACTTTGGTCAGGCACCAGCTGTACAGCGGGCTTTTCCTAACTCTCTGTCCTTTCCCTTTGCTGGCACTGGCCCTGTCTAGGGGCAGAGGGTTGGACTTTGCAAGCTGGTGAGGTATCTGTCTGTGTGTTGGCTTCTCAGCCATCTTCGGATACTTTCCAGCCAGTGATGGGAAAGTTCTCACTGCCTCACACCTCACAGTGACTCACTCAGTCAGTCTCACAGGTTTGGGTTGTTCTATCATGTGCAACTGCCCAGGTCCAGCCAACGCTGCCATCACAGAAAAAAAGCTTTTTTTTTTTTCTCCCAAAGAAGGTGCATGGGTGGGAGTGAGGAGGAAGAGAGAATATGTGCTGGGCAGATGAAGTTCCTTAGCCACTATGGTCCATTCACATGGCACCTACAGCCCTTTTGCTGACATTTCTGTTATTTGTATGGACAGGCTGAGCTTTAGTGGTGTGGGGAGTCCTGAGGGAGGGCACTGTGGTTTGAATTTTTTTTTTTTATATTTGACCCCTGTCCCACAGTTCAATGCCTGGCTCAAGGTAAGCCTGAAACCCCTATTTATGGACGGAAAGGAGGAACAAAGGCAAGGGTTGTTCTGACTCTTCACAGGAACTGGTCACATCCAACTGTCTTCTCTTTGTTCTATCAGCTCTCTGTCAGTTGTGTGGGGAGGGGCACATGTGCATTTATACGTGTATTGATGGTCCCCCCGCCCCCGTTTTATCGAGACATATAACATTGTATAATTTAAAGGTGTACAACATAATAATTTGATACAAGTATATACAGTGAAATGGCTACCAGAATCAGTTTAGTTATCATCTGTCACCTCACAGTTACACATTTCCCCCCTGTGATGAGAACTTTTAAGATCTACTCTCTTAGCTACTTCCTACATTGATGTTCAATTTGTACCCTTTCTAAAGATGTGATCATACCGATTCCCTCCTTGAACGTGCTGAGTGGTGCCCGCTGGCTTGGGTATGGAGTCCAAGCACCGCACCTTGCTTTTCAGGGCCACATGCCTTCCAGCCCCATCTCCTGCCATTGACTCTGGGAGACCATGGGCTCTGTCCACTCCAGATTTTAAGCATGACTGGAAGTGACCATGCATGTGCTGGCATGCCACAGGGCCTTGGACACAGACTGATCCCTCTGTCTGGAATGCCTACCCTCTGGCTTCAACATGGTGGACTGCTACTCATCTTTCAGAGCTCACCTTCGGGGTTTCATCTTCTATGCAGCCTCACTTGATTCCTACCAGGAACAGTTAGTAGCTGGGTCCTCCTTTCCAGAGGAAGTGAGACTCTAGTCTCTGTTACACTCCACTCTAATGGTTGCTCGCTTGTCCATCCCCTCACCATTTAGCCCTGTGTGGTCTCTTTGCTCCCACAACACACACTGCTCACCTTTTCTTACCCCACCCCACAGCTACAACACAGCAACACTCACTGCTCACTTATGACATTGCTTGTCCCTTAGTCCCCAGTGCCAAGTACTTGATAAGGCTTCCATAAATACTAGCTGGTGAACTGGGATCAGGCACCTCATTCTAGAGAGTTCAGGTTTTGGTTCTGTTTTGAACATGGAATTGCGTGCCTTGCTTCATGTTGGGAACCTCAGCCGCTTGAGGGCAGAGCCAAGAACAAACAAGCGCCTGGCTCTGGACCAGGCCATGTCCCCAGCCCTTGGCTTGGCTCTTCTCAGGGTGTCATTGAAGACAGCACTATGGACAGGGTGCTCTTGACTCCTCCACTTCCAAGTTGCATTTATTGAAGCTGGGTGAGTGGGAGGAGTTGGAGGGTTGAAGAACCCCAGGTCCCTAGGTCTCCCATAGTCTGGAGCCGGGGCAGGGTTTCCAGCCCAACCTATGTGCTCCCAAGGACAACCTCAAAACCAGCCCATGTCTTCATGTCTCCCATACCCCCATATCCCCAAGGGCCAGCACGAAACCTGCTCCATAAATACTTGTGGCATGGCATTATGAATAAGTGAATACGTGTTCTTGTGTTCTCTATTCCCTCTTTTGCAAGTGTTGCAGAGGAGGGAAAGAGGTGGTAAAAGGGGAGAGATCTTTGAGAAAGATCTCTCAGGCTGCAGGAGGAGTTGCCCCACTCGCCCAGCTCCCGCTCAAAAAAAAAAAAAAAAAAAAAAAAAAAAAGAGTTGTTTCCCTGAAGGCAGCGATGTTGGAGTGTGTGTGTGTGTGTGTGTGTGTGTGTGTGTGTGTGTGTACACGCGTGCGTGCGCGCGCACGAGTTGAGGTGGGAAGAACACCTGAATGTGAGGAAAACATTTTGCTTGGCTTTGTTTAGGCCAGGCAATTGTATTCACAATGCCACCCATCCCCTCTTACAACGCACTTGATTCAATCACTTAAATGCTCTATGGGGAGAGGAGGGATAAAACAAAACTCCCTAAATCTAACCAGTATTCTCTCAGTTCACAGCGGAGCCCTTTCCCCGCTTCCTCTTTATAAATATCTAGGCGACCTGAGAGGCTGAAGACTCACACTCATGTCACCCCCACCCAAGCTTCCCGGCCCCGCCCCCTCCCACCCCCCGCCAGCCTGGCAGCCCCCGCAGCCCCCGCACCCCCGCAGCAGCCACAGGGGGAACCAAAGAGACAGAAGCCTTCCCAGCTGCCCGGAACACAGGCGCCAACACCTCCTGCCCCTCACCACACGCTACCCGCCCGCCCGCCCGCGCGCGCCCCGCATGCTAATCCACAACTGAGCGGTGGCGGCAGCAGGAAGCTGCAAACTGCGGTGACTCGCAGAGGCGCGCTCCTGGCAGGGCTCGCCATCCCAGGCGCCTTGGTATCGCCAGACCTGCTGGCCCCCGCGTCCCTCGCCCCAGCTCTCGCTCGCGCCCCCGGCCCGGGTTCCTGCGCCCATCTGCCCTCCTGCCCTCCTGCCCTCTCCCGCCTCGCCGAGCCCCAGCTTGCGGGAAGGGAGGTCGCGGGAGCGGCCCGGCAGCACCGGCGACCGTGGCGACAGCTGCGGCAGTGGCGGCGGCGGCGGCGGCAGCGGCGGCAGCGGCGGCGGAGGCTGCGGCGGCGACCGTGGCAGAGGCGGTGGCGGAGGCCTCCGTGGCGGAGGCGGACGCAGAGGTGGAGGCCGACGCCTCAGTGGAGGAGGCAGTAGCGGAGGCCATCCTGGGGGAGGCGGCAGCCGCCCTGGCCGGGGAGGAGGTGGAGGCCGCTCTGGAGGCAGCAGCCGTGGTGGTGGCAGAAGCCAGCGCGGCCCAAGCCGCTGCAGCAGCAGAGCCTGTGGCGCCCCCCTTGGAGGAGGAGGAGGATGCGGATGAGCATGCAGAGGCGGCGGCGGCGGCGGCGGCGGCGGCGGCGGCGGCGGCGGCTGCCACCGCAAACGCAGAGAGGGGCGGGAGTTCCGAGGAGAACCCGGACTTTCCTATGGCCTCACTGTACGTGGGAGACCTGCACCCTGAGGTGACAGAGGCAATGCTGTACGAGAAGTTCAGCCCGGCAGGGCCTATCCTCTCAATCCGCATTTGCAGAGACAAGATCACCCGCCGCTCGTTGGGCTACGCATATGTCAACTACCAGCAACCGGTGGACGCCAAGCGGGCCCTGGAGACCCTGAACTTTGATGTCATCAAGGGCAGGCCAGTGCGCATCATGTGGTCCCAGCGGGACCCTTCGCTGCGCAAGAGCGGGGTGGGCAACGTCTTCATCAAGAACCTGGGCAAGGCCATCGACAACAAGGCGCTGTACAACATCTTTTCGGCCTTTGGCAACATCCTCTCTTGCAAAGTGGCCTGCGACGAAAAGGGGCCCAAGGGCTACGGTTTCGTGCACTTCCAGAAGCAGGAATCCGCCGAGCTGGCCATTGATACGATGAACGGCATGTTCCTGAACTACCGCAAAATTTTCGTTGGGAGATTCAAGTCCCATAAGGAACGAGAAGCTGAAAGAGGAGCTTGGGCCAGGCAGTCCACCAGTGCTCACGTCAAGGATTTCGAGGAAGACACCGACGAGGAGGCCACCTTCCGATGAAGACATCCCAGGAGCCAGTCATCCAGCAGAGCCAAACTTTGCCTCCCACCCGGTTTACAGCCCCCTCTCTGCCCCCCTAACCCACCAGCCATGTATTGTATTGAGAGTGCAGATCCGTGCTTCTCTCTCTCCCTCTCTAGTCTCTCTCTCCTTCTGTCCTGTCTCTCCCTCTCCCTCTCTCCTGTCTCTCTCTTCCTCTCCCTCTCTCTTCTCCCCCATCTCCTCTCTCTTTCCCTCTCCCTCTCCCTCTCTCCTGTCTCTCTCTTCCTCTCCCCCATCTCCCCTCTCTTTCCCTCTCCCTCGCTCTTCTCCCCCCATGTCCTCTCTCCCTCCCTCTCCTCTCTTTCTCCCTCTCTCTCCCTCCCTGTCCTCTCTCTCTCCCTCTCTCTCCTGTCTCTCCCTCTTCCTCTCTCCTGTCTCTCCCTCTCCCCATCTCTCTCCCTCTCCCTCCCTCTCTCCCTCCCTATCCTCTCTCCCTCCCTCTCTCCTGTCTCTCTCTTCCTCTCTCCCTCTCCCCTCTCTCTCCCCCCCTCTCCTCTCTCTCCCTCTCCCCTCTCTCTCTCCTTCTCTCCTCTCTCTCCCTCTGTCCTCTCTCTCTCCATCTCTTCTTCTCTTCTCCCTCTCCCTCTCCCTCTCCCTCTCTCCTCCTCCCCTCTCCCTCTCCCCTCTCTCTCTCCCTCTCACCTTTCTCTCCGCCCTCTCTTCTCTCTTTCCCTCTCCCTCTCCCCTCTCCCCTCTCTCTCTCCCTCTCTCCTCTCTCTCCCTCTGTCCTCTCTCTCTCCACCTCTGCTTCTCTCCTTTCTCTTTCTCCCTCTCACCCTCTCTCCCCTCTCTTCTCTCTCTCTCCCTCTCCTCTCTCTCTCCCTTTCTTTCTCTTCTCTCTCCCTCCTTCTCTCCTCTCCCTCTCTCTCTCCTTCCCTCTCTCCTCTATCTTCCTCTTTCCTCTCTCTCTCCCTCCCTCTCTCCTCTTCCTCCCACTCTCCTCTCTCTCTCCCTCTCCTCTCTCTCTCCCCCCTCTCTCTCTCCTCCCTCCCCTTTCACCCTCTCTCTTCTTCATTCTTTCCTCTCCCCCCTCCCCCACCAAGGGCACTGTGACTAATCTTGCTATCTGTGCCACTTGATAAATTAGAGGCTGCCTCTTCTCTTTGTGGTTTGGTTTTAAAAGCACTTTCTCTCTTTGTTTACTGTACAGGTGATACAATTTCATGGTAGAAACCTCAGAAAGGAGAAGGAAATCAGATGAGGGAAAACCAAGAGAGTAATGGCTCCCCATGATCCTGCTACCCAGAGACAACCACTTTTACCTTTTTGGTGTGCTGCCTTTCCAGGTTCTCTCTCTTTCTCTCTCTCTCCCTCCCGTTCTCACCCCCACCTCACCTTCCCTTTTCACATACTGTTATACAACGGTTCATGTATGTGGTGTTTCTTAACCTGCTTTTTTTTCAAAAACTAAAACCAAACAGAAATCAACACACTGAACGTCTTTCCATGTTATACAACAGGCTTCTGAAACTCATCTTCAGTGCCTGCAGGTGTATCCACGCACCTTAACATTTCTGTAACCGTTCCTCATTGTTGGACATTCAGGTGGTGCCTAGTTCTTTCCTTGTGTTTAACCCCAACACTGAGTCTCTGATGAGTGACTCCTTCCTTGTCAAGCCAAATCTCCGCTGGCATACCCTACGGTCATCTTAATTGTGGACTCGAAGGATCCACACATGGACATTTTAAAGACTTTTCCGGTGTGTTGCCAAATGGCCCCTTCATAAATATTGTACCGATTTGCATTTATGCCAGTCAGTGCAGCTAGTAAAACAGAGTATGCCCATTTCCTGGTCACTGTAATTGATATGTGTGTGTGCGCGTGCGCGCACGTACGTGCCCGTGTTTGTGTGTGTGTGTGTGTGTGTGTGTGTGTGTGTGTGTGTGTGTGTGTGTGTTGGCCAGCTTGATGAGCTAAAAATGGCATTTTGCTGTCCTTGGTTGTTTTGCTGGATTTAAATACTGTTTATCACTTCCTTCCCCTGTGCCTACTTCCTGCCATTTTCCTCATTGTTAAAAAATAATTCAGCTTCATTGCAGAAAAAAAGTCAGAAAGCAGACCAGGTAGCAAAAACAAACTAATGTCACCAGTAATCAATCTTCATGACCACCCATACCTTCCTGAGTCATTTTCATCTGTGCCCATTGATATTTTCCAAAAACTTCCTAAAATATTTTGACTGTGCTCATCTCGTATTTTTCTTATGCAAATGTCATATATGTATATAATAATGTACATAATGTTTTTATATTTGGTTTTCACACATATAGTGTTTATTTGCATATAGACACACATGCATATTCTTGAACTTCATTTTATGTCATTAAAGATACCTTTAAAATATTTTCTCTGGCTATTAGTATTCCATTTAATTGATAGTTCAGTAGACAGATAGATGCATTTACATGTCTATATATCTGTGTTTGTGTGTACGTGTGTGTGTGTGTGTGTGCGTGTATTTCTTCCTGCATCTAAGTTATTGGTAGTTTTTTCTTCTTCCAAATAAAGCTCACTAAGTGCATCGTAGGGCACAAATCTTGCTGCCTTTCAAGGTCATTTCCTGAACTAACATTGCTAAAGAAAAATGAAAGTATCAAAATACGGGCAGTGTGGCAGGGAAAGCAATATTAAATGGCCATCTATAATGAAAGGATGTTTATCTTTATAAGGTGGATCAGAATTTTAACTGTACCTGGGTACCTGTATTATTTTCTTCACTTGGTATTACAATTATTTCTGTATTTGATCATCATTTTATCTGGGAAACAGGAGGGTTTTTTAATATATTTTAAACATATATAAATTGTACATGATTACAATAGAAAATATTTTGAAATTGTTAGTGTAATTAAACAAAGTTAAAATCCTAATATAACTCCTAATACCAGTACTTGACAAAATACAATTTTAATAAATAGATCTACATACCTTTATATTGATTAATAAACTATGCATTGTTTCATTGCAGGGTATTTTCACTGTTACTGTTCTCTGGGACCATATTTATAAATCATTAAATATATTCTTAATTATGTTGTTTAATAATATACCATCACTAGGATGAATAATTTATATAACCAAGCTTCCTTGAAATATGTTTTAAATGGTTCTAATAATTTGTGTGTAAGATCAATTGTATAATGAAAACCTCTGTACCTAAATGTCTTGGGATATTTTATTGCTTTCTGTTACTTACTATTGTAATTGCAGGATGATAGAAATATGGACATGTCAAATATTTTTTTTGGTGTGTTGCCAAATATTTCTCAAAGTTTACATCAACCAGTAATGTAAAAGAGTACATAGATACGTGATCAGCTTTTTTAAGTTGTTCAACATATTTTTAGTACTTTTTTCCTACAAAATATTTTAAATCATTTTTAATTTTTCAATTATAGTTGACATACAATATTATATTAGTTTCAGTGATTAGACATTGTATAACTTACCAAGTGATCATTCCAATAAATCTGTACCTATCTGATGGTATCCATAGTTATTAGAATATTATTGACAATATTCCCTATGCTGTACTTTATATTCCCATGACTATTCTGTAACTATCAATTTATATTTCTTAATACCGTCACCTTTTTCACCCATCCACCCAAACGCCCTCCCATCTGGCAACCATCAAAATATTCTCTGTATCTACGAGTCTGTTTCTGCTCTGCCTGTTCATTTATTATGTTTTTAGATTCAATTTTGATAGATGTATATTTGTTGCTGTTTTACTGTTCATATATGTTATCTTTTTATTCTTCTTGTTATAGAAGATCCTTTAACAGTTTATGTAATACTGGTTTAGTGGTGATGAACTCCTTTGTCTGGGAAGCTCTTTATCCAGCTTTCAATTCTAAATTATAACTTTGCTGGATAATCTTGGCTGTGGGTCCTTGTTTTTCATCACTTTGAGTATTTCTTGCCATTCCCTCTGACCTGCAAAGTTTTTGCTGAGAAATCAGCTGGCAGTCTAATGAGAGCTCCCTTGTAGGTAACTCACTGCTTTTCTCTTGCTGCTTTTAAGATTATCTTTTTATCTTTAAACTTTTGCATTTTAATTATGATGTATCTTGGTGTAGGCCTTTTTGGGTTCATCTTGTTTGGGATTCTGCACTTTCTGGACTTCTATGTCTATTTCCTAGATCACGTTAGGAATGTTTACTGGCATTATTTTTTTCAAATAGGTTTTCAATTCCTTGCTCTGTCTCTTTTCCTTCTAGGATGACCATGATGTGAATGTTGGTCTGTTTGAAGTTATTCCAGGGGCTCCTTACACGGTCCTCATGTTTTAAAATTCTTTTTTTCTTTTTGCTATTCTCATTGGGTGTTTTATTGCTTCCTTATATTTTAAATACTGATTTGATTTTCAGGTTCATCTACTCTATTGTTGATTTCCTATAAATTATTCTTTATTTCAGTTCATGCATCTTTCATTTCTGAATGGTCCTTTTTATGCTATTGAGGTTCTTACTAAGTTCATCTACGCTTCACCTAATTTCAGAACATCTTTATAACCAATGTTTTTTTTGTTTTTTGTTTTGTTTTTTTGTTTGTTTTGTTTTAATCCTCACCCAAGGATGTTTTTCCCATTGACTTTTTAGAGAGAGTGGAAGGGACAGGGAGAGACAGAGAGAAGCATTTATGTGAGAGAGACACATCAATTGGTTGCCTCCTACATGCCCCTGATCAGGTCCGGGAGCCTGCAACCAAGGTCCACGCCCTTGACCAGAATCAAATCCGGGACCCTTCAGTCTGCAGGTAAATGCTCTATCCATTGAGCCAAACTGGCTAGGGCTATAACCAGTGTTTTTGAACTCTGCATCTAGTAGGTTGTTTGTCTCCATTTTGTTTATTTCTTTTTCTGGAGTTTAGTTCTATTCTTTTATTTGAGACATGGTTCTTTATGTCCTTATTTTGGCAGCCTCCCTATGTTTATTTCTGTGTATTAGGTAAAGCTACAATGTTGCCTGGGCTTGGTAATATGGAGTAAGGTAGTGGATGTCCTGTAGGGTCCAGTGGCACAGCCTCCCTGTTCATTTGAGATGTACACACAAGATGTGCCCCCTCTGTGTGGGCTGTCTATATTCTCCAGTTGTAGTTGAGCCTTGATTGCTGTTGGTACGTCAAAGACAGGGATTTATTCCCAGGTTTATAGGCTACAAGGACTTTCTGTGACCACCATGGAGAATCAGTT